CGCGCGCGCGCGTGTTCTCTCATCTGAGTTTTTTTTACACCCTATCTGCGAGAAAAAAAGGAAAATCATTTATTTTTTTTTAGATTAAAGAAAAATAAATGAGTGACAACATTTAGTCACGTATAACTTAGGAAAAAACAACAAAAAACAACAACAGCAACAGTAACAAGAAAGCTAACTAACAAAAGGAAAAGTATCCCTCGATATAATGTGAATTTAAGGAATAATTTAGGATTTGTTCTAAAAAAAAAAGAAAGAAAGAAACAGTGGACAAACAAAAATTGAAACAAACGATTGGATTGAGAAAAAAAAAGTGCACCAAAGAAAAGAGAAAGAATGATAATATAGAGAACAAACAAAACAAATAAAGTTAAACGGAACATAAATTCGTTCGAAATAGAAAGAGAGAGCCGAGCAACTAGTGCGATATTAATTTCCAGCTTTGAAACACCCCACGAAAGATGACTTTGTTAGCCAAGGAATTCGACCAATCATCTAGAACAGGAATGGAGAAATGAAAACACTTTGAGGTGACCTTGACTGTTCAACAGAATACATGTAGTGTAGAAGTATTGTGTTTTTAAATTTTGTTTTCTTGTTTTTGTTGTGGTTTTTTTCCCCACGTTCCTTGTTCTTTTTTTCTTTGGTTACTATTTTTAAAAAATCTTATACGTTTCTTTGTTGATAGTTTTTTTTCTTCGGTTACTATTTTTTTTTACCTTATACTTATATGTTTCTTTGTAGCTGTTTTTTTTTTCAATATGAAAGATTAATTATTTAGAGAGCTGCAATAGTTAGGTGGGTTTTTTTAGTACGGCTCGCTCAGTAACGTACTATTTGTTGTGTTTTGACAGGGTTTGTGTTCTATTTAACAAACAAGAATACAAACAATATAATTACTCAAAGACATAATGTCCTTTTAAAAAAAGAATAAAAAGCAGAGTGAGGTGAACTTTTATGAATAAATATCTAGAAAATATCGCCATGAAACTGACAGTTGGGAACCAATTGACTTTTTAAGGGCAAAGCGGAATCAATAATATTTGTCCGACCAGCAACAGACCACAGAAAATTTTGCTTCAAATTTCGAGCCTTCATACACAAGTTTTAATCAGAGAGGCGAATTTGCATAATATTTCCTGGTATGCATGTTTGTGCCTGCCTTATTAAAGTTTCAGACAAAGAAAACAGAATGGAAAAATCTACACGAATAACGAGGTAATGTTTGTCCAAAAAGGAGACGTCCTCAATGAGTTAATGAAAAGGAACATTGTATTGTCTATAAGCTGTAATAGTAGCTTCATGTTTTTCAATGACCTATGGACGTGTCCATGTCACGAACAGGCCAGTGCTTATGGACATGGTATCCTTGATCTCTGACTCACGTTAAAACCAGCCACATCTCAAGGAGGAGGATGTGGCCTTCTTATAATGTACATACTCTCAACTGGAGTGCGGTCGTGAGGCTACAAGAAAGTGCCCAAGGCCACTTTAGAAGATTTTCCTCCTCAGAATGTTCCGAGAGTCACGACATATGCCAAAGGGTCACGTAGTGCACACAGAGGTTCACACTGTTATAACACTGGATGGTTGGCGGGTGCTCTGGTGTGGTTTTGCTCCTTCTTTCCTATCAAACATCTGTCGTCCTTATTTAATTCTCGCCTCCTTCTTTTTGTGTGTGTTACTCTCTTGTAACACATCTATTTTTCGGCACTTATTAGGACCTTTTTGGGTTGCAAGTGCCGTAAACCCCTTACTAAAACAAAATGTAATAGCATTCTTTTAGCTTTGTTGGGTGTATTGTTGATTTATTTGCTGTCACTGACGAGTTAAATGTTTCGGTTTTGTCGTGTTAATCACACTGCGCCGTTGATTTGCGTTGTTTTACACACGACAAAATTATTACCCTCCTATTCCATTAGTTGATGCCATTGCCTATACAAGCGACTAAAGTTGTTTTGTAATGGGAGTGGACGGGTTTCTATATTATTATTATTATTATTATTATTATTATTATTATTATTATTATTATTATTATTATTATTATTATTATTATTATTGTCATTATTATTATTATTATCTTTTGTTGTTGTTGTTCTTATTGTTGCTGTTATTTAGATTGTTGTTGTTGTTATTGTTGTTGTTGTTGCTACTTTCTGTTATAGTCGTCGTTGTAACTTTCTATTGTTTTGTTTTATATATTTTTGTGTATATATTTTTGTTGTTTTGTTTGTTTTGATTTTGTTTTGATTTTTGTTTTTGTTTGAATTTTGTTTTGTATTTGTTTTTGTTGTTATCCTTATTTTTGCTTTGTTTGTCCTTATTTTTGCTTTGTTTGTTTTTTTTTTTCGGAAAGGGGGAAGGAGGCGTATATTATTGTAAGCATAAGAACCGTAGAGACACAAATATATTTTCAGTCTTTCAGAGTAAAAGCTATTAATACAGTTGTTTTTATATGCACGTGGCATTTTCAATTATAAGTAGTCCTCATTTAAGGTCACTGTCGGTTGCAGTGATTATTTCTGAACGTTCAAAAGTGAGGAAGCGACAGAACTCCTTGGGAATTGTCCCACTGCTTAGCGACACACTTGGACATTTCTGAACACGTTCACCGCTGTCTCGTTGCACTCACGCTAAGCCCCGCCCCTCCCATTTCTCCTTAGGGGAGCCGCTATAACTCTCTCCCTCCTGAGTATCCCGTTTCCTCAAGACTCGCCGTTCACGCTGTCCCCGGCCGATCGGGTTTCCCGGCTCCGCGAAGTAAATCAGAGAATTATGTCTATTACGCGTTCCTTTCGTAACACACGACACTTTACCTGTGTCGCGCGGTATTGTTCGGGGGCAGAACTGGCGAATTCATCGGGAGACTTGCGGGAGAGACGTCTTAAAAGAGAAAGAGAAAAAAGTAAACGAAACAGGAGTGAAAATGTAAGGTGAACATAACTGAAACTGATCTACGACTAGTCCGGGTCTTTTATTTCTTACCCAGCATTGTGGATGGGAAAATGGCGGTTTATTGGCAGCAAGCTATTAGCGTACACGATTTCTCCGATCTTTTCGCCAGCCTAGCTGTAAAAGTCGGACATTAAAGCGAGGTTAAATAGAGATAAAACTATATTTGTCTCCCTTGATGCATGTGGTTTTTGTAATCCACCTTTCTTTAAATCTAAAGTAATTTTTCTTATTCCTTTGTAGTTGTTTTAGTTGTCTATGCGTGCTTGAATTTTCGTTAATCCGAAGAAAAAAACAACAACAACTCCCCCCCCCCAAACAAACAGAAGAAAGAACTAAGAAAAAATAAAACCCGGAACCCTTTAGTACACCAAGTATCAAGTATTCTCTGTCTCGGCACATTGGTTTGATTTTTCTAGTTCATACGACGAGCATATAAGCTTTCCCGTTCAAGTTCAAGCCAATATGATAGAATGCGTACATCTTCTGCGCTGTGTTATAAAGGCAAAATACATATACTCAAATACCCAGCCTTAAAAAAAACCTTTCCTTTCAGATGACGGTTTAGTAATGTGATCTGATCAATCTCAAGAGGTCATTCCGAAAGTTCAAGAAATTAGATTATAATTTTTTAGAAAATTATTATTATTATTATTATTGTAGGAGTAGCGCTTGAATAAAGCTAAGACTTACCTCTTGAGTTGTTGTGAGTTGAACTGCTCGCCTCTCGGTCTTGATTTTTACTCACTGTGTCACTCTCGCGGAGAGTGACGTCCTTTGTCCTTGTGAGGTCAATGCGATCGTACTCGTAGTGTTTCGCATAACCCCACATTATTATTATTATTATTATTATTATTATTATTATTATTATTATTATTACTATTATTATTATTATTATTATATTATTATTATTATATAATAATAATAATAATAATAAAAATAATAATAATAATAATAATTTTTATTATTATCTTTATTATTACACCCAACCACAAACTACTGTATTGGGTTCAACACAATAGCGTTATTCGGAGTAGGTTTTTTTTCTCCAAACTTGTTTGTTTTAATGTTTTAAAGATTTTTGGCGAAATCTTTCCTGCGTGTGACCTGCTACATTTGCATCATCGTTACTTATTGTTGCTTGCATTTCATCTATAGACTTTAACTTGTTTTTAATGATTAAAAAAAATACGTACCGTATGGACCTTGATTATAAGGATAATATACTTCCTGCAAGTAATCCGTTGCGTACTCGGCAAACTTATCTAGGTTGTTTTCCCCACGTGCAGACTGCTGAATTACTTCAAAGAGTACGGCATGGACAATGATTGCGTCCTTCCTGCAAGTAATCCGTTATGTATATAATACTATGGTAGGCCTATACGTATCCATTTTTTAAAGTTTAGTTTTAGTAGAGTTTTTGGTCATATGAGCGCCAGAAGAATAGAGGTGTTACAAGAGAGTAACAAACATGAAAACGAAGAAGAGGAAATAAGAACGATAGATGTTTGATAGGAAAGAAGGGGCAAACCACTCCAGAGTACCCGCCAACCACCCACATCCATTGTTTGTTTTCCCAAGTGCATTCTCTTGAAAGATTTCAAAGAATATGGCATGAGCAATGACTATATCCTTCTTGCAAATTATCCGTTATGTGTATTGTATACTCATCCATAGTTTGTTTGTCCCATGTGCAGACTCCTGAATGAGGCCGAGAAGAAACCGTTTGTGGAGGAGGCGGAGCGCCTGCGGGTACAGCACAAGAAAGACCACCCCGACTACAAATACCAGCCCAGACGCCGCAAGCCGCCCAAAGGACCCGGGGGTCATGGATCTGACCACTCAGGCCCGTCGTCCGGTGGTCACTCCATGAAATCGTCAGGGGGTGGGGTTAGAGACAGTTCTTCCCCCAGCGACGATTGTTCCAGCGAGTGCTCCAGTCAGCAGGGAGGCAACTCCAACGGCCCGCCCACCCCGCCGGTGACGCCCAATCAGCACGACGCGGTCAGTCTCAAGTGTATGTACGACAGGAAGGGACAGAGAGGTTACATCATGGGTGAGTTGACACAGCGTTTTTTTTACGTTTATTGCTCTTTCTGTTGTTATGGATATTGATGCTGTAGTTGTGGCAAATGTGGCTGTTGTTTCAGTGAGATCAGTGTTGTGCTGACTTGAGTATTTTTGTGTTGTTGTTTTAATGTGGCATTGTTTCTTGATTCAGTCCAACTAATTGCATTCTCTGGGACAAAAGCAAACGATCTGCTAGTTGTCAGGACTTCATACAAAGTTTAATCCTTTACCGTTCCCAGTTTTTCACTTTAACTGCCAGCAGCGGAAAGCATACTTCAATCATATATTATGGGAGTTTATGTCATCCACATCTTGATCAATATCTCACTATTTTATCTTTCCCATTTCCGTCCAAACTCTGTATGAAACTACGTGTCTAGTTTACATTAACGATTATACACAATTTAGTTTGTTGTTAAAATGCGTAACAATAAGCCCTTTATGGCCTTAAACTGTCTTTGCATGTTATATTACCGAGTCTGTAACCCGGGCTAGATCTATTAAACAGATATAAAGTCGAATATCCCCCCCCCCCCCAAAAAAAAAAAAAAAAAAAAAAAGCAGCTCGCGCATTACAACAATCATAGCCTACGGGTGAAAGTGGGGAAGGGCAAAATTAACTTTTAAATTAACTTTTGTTTAATTGGAAGGCGAATCTGAACAACATCAGTTCGCCCCTAGCCGGTTCCATTGATGTATGTTGAAGAGAACTGGTACGTTACGACATGTACTTGACGTTCCAGCTGAGGCAGTTTCTTTAACTTTAAGTTTGTGTGAGCCTTCCAACAAATATTCATTTAAATTGTCAACATAGTATATTGCACCCTCAAGGATAATGCAACATATTGTTTCGTGAAAGTCCAAACAATAATTTCATGATGTAATCCTTTTTCAGGTCCTTCTGGCCACCCGATAGACTTCAGCCGCATGGACTTGAGTCCAGAAGTCATTGACCAGTTTGATGACCAAGACCTTGACCAGTACCTTCCCCTTCCCGGCATGCCCCATCCCCTGGCTCACCACGGCGGCCACCACAGCGAGGTGGGTCCCTACAACGCCCCCTGCTACCTTGGCCCTCCCATCTCGAGCGTTTCCTCTGCCTCCCCAGCTTGGGCCTCTGGCTACCGCATGACCACCCCGGCGTCCTGTCTCCCGCCCTACATGGCCCCACCACACGGGGCAGGACACGGCATGGCGCCCTCTGTGGTCTCCGCGCCCTACGACCTGTCGGAACCGCCGGCACCCCCAGCTAGATCCCCCACCATCTCCTCCTCCTCCAGCGTAAGCCACCGAGGCGGACCCCAGCAACAGCCCCCACCCCAGACCTCTCCGCAGAACCTCGTGACCACAGACAATTTCCTCAACCCGACCTCCTCAGAGTGTAAATACCGAGGCGACGACCCATGTTCAGTCAAACTCGAACAACAGCAACAACAACAACAGCAGCAACAACAGCAGCAGCAGCAGCAGCAACAACAACAGCAACAACAGCAGCAGCAACAGCAAGTCAGCAATGTGCCCCCGTCTCACCAGCCACAATACCGATGCGACCCCAAGTACGACAGCCCGAGCTATGCGTCCAGCCAGCCTCCCCTCCCTCGCTATGGAGTGGACTCTGCCCCCAGCGCCTATAGCCACATGTCCGGGCCATACCTCCCGCCGGGCGCCCCGGGGATGTCAGCCTCCCCCAGCTACCAGTACTCCATGGGTGTACACAGGCAAAACATGTTTAACCCGATCCCCGCCGCCGTGCCCTCAGAGCAAGGATGGGAGCAATTTGGTTAGACATTTCCAGATTCAAGATTGACCCTTCGTCCAAATCGATTGTCTTGAGAAGAAGTGACTGAACATTTCTTAAGTTCTGAAAAGGTCGGAAGATTTTTGTACGAGCATATATCTCAGTTTGATTGGCAACAACATGACGCAGTGTTTTGGCAACCCTATTGTGCGAGGATATGGAAGCGTTTCCGGTGCTCAGATTTGCTCGCAAATGAATCTCAAAATGACAGTCAGCCCTGAGCTGTCTGGATGATCGTTTATATTACGACCAATATGATATTTTTGGAGGTCACGGTTCCAGTAGCCCTATAGTGCAGCACGTCATCTCTGTGGTCTAGCCTTGGTGCTTTCATCAAGAAACTATTCAGTTGTGTAGCTGTAAACAAACTCCATGAATCATGCATAAACTTTAGTTTGAAGAACAATGCTGCAACACGCAAGATATGAAAGCCTTTGTTTGGTCCGGATGGTGGAAGTTTCTTGTTGTGACCACCTGTGTACAGAATCCACGATCCTGGTTGTAGAGAAGAAAAAAACAACAACCCTGCATCGTTATGGAGTCTGTCTTGTCTGTTGTATTGTTTCTGGTTTCCTTTAATTCTGTGGTGGACACTTGGGAGCTGTGGATAGTGATCGCCAGCTCCGCGCTCTCGTCCCCAGAGAGTAATTAGGAAGTGTCACCGGTATAAGAAGCACAAATAATAGAATTTGCTTACTTAGCATGGTTTGGGCACCAGAAACAACAGCAAGCTGGTCTTCGTTGCAGATAAATATTATGTTTTGTTAGAAACGCCAGCAAGCCATAGAGAGAAACACGACGCTTTTAGCAACTTTTCTACACAGAGTAAACAAAGTCAAAATAGAATCAGCAGAAAAGGGCAGAATTTTAAAAAAGCAAACAATCAACAGGTGTCCTAATGGAACAACGTGTTTACTGCAGGGTCAAAATACTTGGTCTAAAAGATGTTTGTTCGCGTACATTTTGGCATCTTCAAAATGTGTCGACCTTTAATACTTGGTAGTCTTAGCAGCCGATTTTCTTTCTAGCAGCTTTTATTTGCACACTGGACATGCAGGACATGTATTTTGGCTCGGATACATTAATTATACTTTTAACTGCTGTATTTGAAATTAGGAATTTGAATCTTCGAAATGTTTTGTCACACAAATGAAAACTATTTTCTGGGTAATTTCTTTGTATTCCGTTCTTAATTGACTTTATCATTATGGAATTATTCTCTCGTCTGATATTAGGATCCTCACGTTTGTCACATGCTTAATGAACAGGTCAGGGATAAGGGAGTTGCTCTTTGACGACGTGTAAAACTATGGTAACAAAATTTGGACCATAATTGGTGAACATTTGAAGAAATCAAGAGTACATGAATAAGGCTAATTAAAAAACGGTTCAATGCTATTTTCTTTAAACATTTGTGTGTATTTATTATATTATCATAATTTGTAAATTGAAGGCACATTATACTTACAAATGCAAATAATTTCAATGCCATTATTTTTTTTAAATATTGGACCTGACATTGACGTCTTAATTTAAGTCAACCGTTTTGCCTGGGTCCAGAGTTTGGTAATATGCAAGGGCAACCGCTAAGTTCGTTGCTTTTCAAGAACTGTGGCCATCTTGCTGTTTTCTCTGTACACTTAAATGTCTGCACAATCCACTCAAAGAGGGTGTTTCCTGTACATTATGTAAAATAGTATTGCTATTAACATTCTTTTTGTTGCACATGACTCAAATTTGTTATGATGTTGAACTATACAGATACCAATTTATTTGTCTCACTTCTTGATTACCACGAACGTAATATTTGTATCTTTTGCAATCTGCGTATTGCCCTACGGATTGACCCGTTATCATTGTTGTTGTTGTTGTTGTTGTTGTTGTTGTTGTTACTGTTGTTGTTTATACTCAGATTTCTTGTTCACACAGCGAAATGGATAATCGTTTTAAAATGCACAGGACACTGTATTCTTGTTTGTTTTATGCAAATTTTAAATGTGTAACATATACCAACCCGTCGCCTTCAGAGAAAGTCCAAGATATTAACTGCCTTACTCCTATTTTCTTTCTAATTAAATCGAAGTTGCAATTTATTTTCAGTAACACCCATGAATATTTTGCTTCGTCACCACCTCTGCGGAGATGGGGAGGGATGGTGTCGTCGTAAGGATGAGGTTGAATCTGTCATAGATTTCACTGAACACTTTTTGAAAAGCTGTTTTTTAAATTTAGAAATATGTATCATCATGAAGTAATTATACTGACAGTCGTGAGAGATGTAATAAATGTTTAATTCGAATTCAAAGGGAATTAGATTTCCCTGAACTTGCGACAGACAAAGAGAAAACGAACAAATAAAATAAAATAGAATACTGGGAACTATTGCAAAGTGAGAAAGACTGCACACCAGTGTCGAGAGGACTATAATAATAATATATTGAACAGTAATCTTTTAAAAAGTAGTAGTAGTAGTAGTAGTAGTAGTAGTAGTAGTAGTAGTAGTAGTAGTAG